TCTTTTCACATCCAGAGAAATATTCTGCCTTTTCAATATTTCCTAGGATATTTCATTTTTCTGGGAGAGGGCTGGATGATAACTTCCCACAGTCACTTAACTAAGGAAATAATGGGAAGCAGGATGCAAAAATACACAGCTAGGTATACTCCCACTGGCAACACTGACTACCTGTCTTTTAACAGCCAATATGTTGACAAAATTATTGACTGGATCAATAATTTCTGGCAAAAGGATTTGTATATGCTTTATATGCCTTGGAAATTTTCTAGCTGATCCAGTCAGTAAGTGAAATTATCTTAACCAGCCTCTCCTCCATTTCTGCATATTATCCAATTTGTTTCTTTACCACAGTAACTTTATATAACATGTTTTATATTTTTTATTAATGTTATTGTAAGCCACATTGTGTCTGTTGATAGTGAGGTGGGCAGCTATATACTGTAAATTGAATAAAAAATAAAAAGTAACCAGTACCACAGAAAAAGGCAAATAAATAAAACAATGCAGTAATTTCCACAATGAAGCCAGATAGAGGAGAATGAAATATAACCAGAAAAGGATCAACATGCCAATTGACTTTTATAACTTATAAGTTATCTATTATAGTACCACATTAAGAATGCTAGCTAAAATAACAGCTGACAGATTACCCAGCCATCATTTAATTCTTCACACTATCAAGGAAAATTTGGCTACATTTGAATCCTGGTAAAAATAATAGATGTATGTTCCTCAGGTCATCAAGGAAATAATATACCTTTAAACTATTATAGAAATATCAGTAATATGAAAATATAGCAGGGGATAAGGGAGGAATTAAGATAATCTAACCATGGACTGATCTCCTTATAAAAGACTCCATACTCTTGGTACTCTTCTCCTTTCCAGGACAGAAAATCCATATGAAGAGTCTTTCAATATATTTAGGGCCACATCTGAAAAAAGCTGTATGTTGTAACAGTCATGAAATCCTGAATAAAGCCCTCTAGCAAAGCATGTTTACATGTTTAAACGTAACAGAAGTTTTGAATATCACCCTAAATCCATCTCTTGGATGGATTTGTTGATCTGTTGATGCAACGATCAGAGTAGTTCACAAACTAAAGACTCCAATCCAGTCACTGCCCTTCTGGTCAGATCTGCCTGATCCCCTAGCCCCAATTTCCTTCCCAGTGATGACACAGCTCTTTAAATTTTGGTGCTGCCATAGGATTTACATTCTTTAATTAAGATTTTGGAGAGATTGTTTCAAATTTTTCTACAGATATTATATTTCCAGGATTGTCAGCTTTTGAAAATATTAGAAGTAGCTGTTATTTCTAGAATGAAATGTAAAAATATGGGATCCTTGGCACACTCTGAGCTTGGTTGTTTTCTGGCAGACATTTTATTATCAAACTTTGTAACATTATCAAGTATTAGTAAGGAATGGGATTTGCTCTCATTTTATATACTAGCCGTTTGTCCTATCAGTTTTGGTTAGGGGTAGTCTTGGAGGTTCTTTGATTGGGCTGTTTACTATTAGTTTGTTTAGTAGTTCCTTGATTTGGGTATTGTTTACTTCTTGATTGTAGGGCTAATGTTAATATTGGTGTTAATAATTCATCTGGGTATTCATTGCTGGTGTTTTGGTTTTTTTGCTTCCCTTTTGGCTTTTTGATTGTCTCTTTTGAATGATATGTAGATGTTTGAGTCTTTGTGCCCGTTGATGGTGATTTGTCTGAGTACTGGACTTTTGGGAATTCTCTCGCATTTTTAAGATTTGGCTTGGTTCTGGATGTTCACAGCTTCTCAGTTGAAACCATGGTTATGTCTGCCCATGTCTTGTGATATCAAGGAGTTTTCATCGTGCCTCCTGTAATATAAAATTGATATAAAGACTATTTGAGAAATAATCCAGTAGACGACTCTGTTTTCAGTAGAGAATGATGATAATTCCTTGAAATACCCCATATGCTTTCTCAATGTGAGGGCCTAGCTCTAAGTGAAAGCAGCAATATTAGCAGTTCTTATCTGCAAAGACATGCCTACTATTAAATTAATAACATTAATATAAATTGGTGAGGTAGGCAGTAACACAAAGTTCAACCTGAATAGATGACATGAGGAGAGATCAGTTTTCCTTTCCAGGAGAACAGGAGCTAAAAATAATGGTTTGCTATAAGAAAGGAGACAAGAGTTCATCTTCCTTTGCTTATGCTGCATTTAAATCCCATTTTGATTTATAAGGAATTGAGAGCAATCTGACTGTCTCCCAAGTTACCTCCCGCTTTTTTTTTAACCATCTGATAAATCAAAACAGGATTGACTAAATTTCAATCCGAACAACGGCTGACAGAAAATAAATGCAGAACATTTGTTTACATTTTTTTTAAATTGCAAGCCATAGGACAAGTTTTAAGGAAATGACTTATAATTAGATGGTACAACTGAAGTAAATGGAATTCCCCTCAAATCCCACAAAAAAGCAAATCCCATTCATTCATAAAATGAATGATAATTAAAGCATCTCATTTAAAACACTCTTTAATTGTTTTTGGTAAAACAAATAATACAATAAAGTATTTGCAAGGAAAATTGCCATAAAGCTGTGCATTCTGGTTGACGATTGCCAGTTTTCTGCACAAGGAAGAACGCAAACCTCCCTTCACTTCTCCCCCACCTTCTGCTTTCCCTTTCTCTCCCTCAGAGGCAGAGTGCCAGCAGTCTCTCAATCGTGTCATATCTTTCCTTTTTATTCATTGTAGGATCTATTAATAGCTTGAAACAACTGTTTCCTAAAAATGGAGTTCTGAATGACACAGAAGCTGGCCTGAGCTATGTAAGGTATCCAGGGTTTGGTCTCTCAGCTTCTCCTATTTTTTGCCTTTGTCTTCAAACAAGGGTTGCTTACTTGCTGCAGATGCTTCCTGGTGACCTGAATCCATCTTGATCTATCTCCTGAAAAAACGTGGGGATCAAAACAGTGCACAGAGATCGCTGAATTTCTCCATGCTTTCCCCCTAAAATTTCCTTTTCTTCTCCCAGATAAACTCACAGAAGTCCAGCAGTATGAAGGCAGCTTGCTGGTTCCTGGCAGTTTTTTATGTGCTTGCCTGCTACAGGGCTGAAGAAGGACTGGACTTCCCTACCTATGATGGGAAAGATCGTGTGGTTGACTTGAGTGAGAAAAACTACAAGCAGGCCTTAAAGAAGTACGATATGTTTGGTGTGCTGCTCCATGAACCAGTGACTTCCGACAAAAGCTCTCAAAGACGGTTTCAAATGACTGAGATGGTGCTCGAGGTATGTGTAACTACAGGTTTATGTAATTGTTCATGGAATAATTTGGAGTCTAAATTGGAGGAGGATACAGATCTTCAAATGGACATTTGAGAGAAATATCAATGCAGACTTATATTATCATTGGCAATTAATTTCTAAATCTTAACAATGCTTTTAAAGTAAAATTCTGCTTCTCAAATTGTATTGTTTCACTTATTTAAGCGAAAAGTTTCTTTCATCCATATATTGGATTCAGTTATTCTCCTTCCCATTAGGAACTAAACAAGAAAGCATTTAGTAAACCAAGCTGAAACAACTTCAAGTTCAATGTTCTTTGCAGTCTTGTTATCAGTCTTGGTTAAGTATTCATTTCTGAGGGAGGAAAAACCCTGATTACTATTCTAGAGATGAAATAGTTCCAATATTAATGAAGCTAATCTAATAAAATGGAATACTATAACTGCCAGAAATATTCTAGAAGCAGCAACTAACCACAATTGAGAAAGAAATATGTTTTACAGACTGTTAATGGGAAACAATAGCTACTTTATAGAAATATGGCAGATTCAAGATCATATTACTAGCTGGTAAAATTAGTCTGTTTTTGTCTATAGCAACTTGTGTTTTGAGAATAAGCAAGTACTTAGAACCACCCCACAATATTGTCTTGTAAGCATCTCCTCAAAATCCTGTACTCTATAGCTAAAACTCATAGTTCGGTCTCATTTGAGCACAATGCCTTCTAGATTTTGTAAGATGTGATACTAGAGTCTTATATGGTTAGATAATTTTGTGCAGTTATTCACAGAATCTAAAGCTAACGATATATGAGATGGTTACTATCCAGAAAGAAAGCCAGCTTGAAATTGAAATTTGAAATTTAATAAATTTGTATGCCGCCCAATCCTGTAGGACTCTGGGCGGCTTACAGAGACAAGATAAAAAAAGTTAAAAATCAGGAATAAAAAGATACAGTTATTAAAAATAACACACCATTCATTCTGTCTAGATGGGGCTGGACATTGTTCAGCAGCCCCAGGCCTGCCGGAACAGCCAGGTTTTAGTGGCTTTTTGGAAGGCCGAGAGAGTGGAAAGGGTCCGGATCTCTATGGGTAGATCGTTCCACAGGGCCGGAGCAGCTACAGAGAAGGCCCTCCCCCAAGGGCCCGCCAGCCGGCATTATCCGGCCGACGGCACCCGGAGGAGGCCCAACCTGTGAGATCTTGTTTGTCATTGGGAGGTATGTGGCAGG